GCTGCCTTTGGTGGGACGCTACTGAGAGTATCAGTTCAGGACAAATTGCTCAGAGCAGGACAGTGACAGTCCCAGGCTGGGGTTTCTCTACCTCTACGGCACCAAACCAGCCAGCCAGAGAAGTCTTCGGTCTCACCCCACTGGCTAACCACAAGTGTCAAGGCTGCTTCCCCACTTTGATCTTTAGAATGTGGGGGCCTGCATGAAAACTTCTAAGCTTAACTACCAGCTTAGATCTGGTCCGCTGCCACCATTCCCAAATGGATTCCCTTCCCTGGGAAGTCTTCAGAAACTCTTCACCAATTCCCTGGTGAATACAGATCCAAACCCCTTGGATCTTAAAGCAGGGAGAAATGAACCATTCCCCCTCCTTGTCCCACCAACTCCTGGTGAATACAGATCCAACCCCCTTGGATCTAAAAACAAGGGGAAAATTAATTAGGTTCTTAAAAAGAAGGCTTTTAATTAAAGAAAAAGGTAAAAATCATCTTTGTAAAATTAGTATGGAAAATAACTTTACAGGGTAATCAAACTTAAAGAGCCCAGAGGAATCCCCTATAGCCTTAGGTTCAAAGTTACAGCAAACAGAGATAAACACTCTAGAAAAAAGGTACATTTACAAGTTGAGAAAACAAAGAGAAAAACTAACACGCCTTGCCTGGCTGTTTACTTACAAGTTTGAAATAGGAGAGACTTATTTAGAAAGATGTGGAGAACCTGGATTGATGTCTGGTCCCTCTCAGTCCCGAGAGCGAACACACTCCCAAACAAAGAACACAAACAACAGCCTTCCCCCTGCCCCCCCCCCAAGATTTGAAAGTATCTTGTCCCCTTATTGATCCTTTGGATCAGGTGTCAGCCAGGTTACCTCAGCTTCTTAACCCTTTACAGGGCAAAGGATTCTGGAGTCTCTGGCCAGGAGGGATTTTATAGTACTGTACACAGGACAGCTGTTACCCTTCCCTTTATAGTTATGACAACAAGTCACACAAAGCAATTCCCTTAGACACTCCAGTTTCCCCAGTATCACCACTAGTGCCACTCGTTATGGGGACAAATGGTTATGAAAACCAATATCACAATAAAAGAAAAAAGGTTCTCCTGATCCCAAAGGACCAAGCCCCAGACCCAGGTCAATATACAACTCAGATCTTACCCACAAATCACGCTGCTGCCAATCCTTTAGAATCTAAAATCTAAAGGTTTATTGATAAAAGGAAAAAGATAGAGATGAGAGTTAGAATCGGTTAAATGGAATCAATTACGTACAGTAATGGCAAAGTTCTTGGTTCAGGCTTGCAGCAGTGATAGAATAAACTGCAGGTTCAAATCAAGTCTCTGGAACATCCCCCGCTGGAATGGGTCATTCAGTCCTTTGTTCAGAGCTTCGGTTTGTAGCAAGGTTCATCTAGAAGTAAGAAGCAGGATTGAAGACAAGATGGAGGAGATGCAGCAGCCTTTTATAGTCTCTTGCAATGTGGCCTTTGCTTTCTTTGTTCCAACTACAAGCTGCCCAGCACCTGGCCTGGAAAAATCTGAGTTCTGTCCATAGGCCTGTCCCTGCCTTGCTGAGTCACAAGGTGTATCTGCCGTCTCTCAATGGGTCAATTGTATCAGCTGATGGTCCTTAATGGGCCATCAAGCAGGCTAGGCAGAGCTGATGCCAAATTGTCTGGGGTGTCACCCAGAAACACAGCACAAGTTTGAAATACAGACAGTATAGAGCCAATACTTATAACTTTAAATACAAAAATGATACATGCACCCAGACAGCATAATCGTAACCAGCAAACCAGAACCTTGTGATAGACACCTTACTTGACCCCTTTTATACAATATTTGGTGTCACTACAGGACTTTGGTTGCAACAATGATCTATACGGTCCCAGTTGATATTAATACTGTCACAGCGGGGCCCTGGGTGCCGCATGCCAGCCAGAGGCTGTGCCGTTCCTACCTGCAGCTCCGTGTTCTGGCGTCTGGATCGTGCAGTAAATATCGGGGGTGTCCCGGGGCTGGAGCTCTGGGGGTGGGAGACACAGAAGCACACTCACGGCGCTGAGCTGGCAAGAGGGGGCCGGAGCAGAACCCAGACAGGAGAGGCGAGACTCAGTGGCAGTGTGTGGCTGGTGCCCATCCTTGGAGGGGGGAGATTAGCCCCTGCTCCCCATGGTCCCTGGTGTTGCTGGGAGCTAATACTGGTGGCACTGGGAGAAGCCTGGGGAGAGGAGCTGCCTGGAGCAGCGACCCTGGCAGCCAGCTCCCGGCCCAGTGGAGACACCCAGAGCTCCTGCCAGGAGCACAGACCAGCCGGCCCCCCCAGGGACAGGCACCGAGGCTGGCCACGGGCTAGTCAGCGTTAGCCTTGTACTGCCAGGGAACGCTCCAGCGGGTGCCCTCCAGATGCACCAGGGGATGGGGGTCTTCAGAGGATCCGTGGCCTGGGTCTGGCCCTTAGCTACCACCCACGCCCAGTAACCCGGCAGCGCAGGGCAGGGGGAGGCCAGGGCCAGCCCGCCCTGCTCCAAGGCCTGGCCCCTAAGCAGGGAGCTCAGGGAAGGATCCCAGACCCAGCTGGCACGGGGGCCAGGCACCTAAGCCAGGGGACCACGCGCTGAGGGTTATAACACTCAGTCAGGGGAGCCTGGAGCCAGCAGGGACCTGCAGGGAAGAGCCCGCGATAGACCCTGGGTGCAGCGGGCTGCAGACGCCAGCCAGGCTCAGGGAGGAGGGCTGTGGAGACCCTGCCCGAGGCAGGAGTCTGAGCCCCAGGGCTGGGCAAAGGTCCCTCCAGAGAGGTGTGGGGTGGGAATGCCCCTGGCAGAGCCCCCCGGGGAGGGGCGGGAACGGCCTTGGCAGAGCTCCCCCCAGGGAGCCCCATGTTACTAAATCCTGGGGCGGGGCCAGGAGAGCTGAGGCAGGGTGATGGAGCCGCACCGCGGCTGACATACTCCGGGGCTGCTGCCTAGGGCACCGGCCAGACAGCTCAGGGGTAGCTGTAACCTCCCCTGACCCCCACCCATGGGGGGCTGGACTCCCGGCCCAGGGCAGGCGGGAGGGATGCACAGGCTGGCTCCTGCTCTTCCACTGACCGGGGTTTCCCGGGGAACAGCTGTAAAAACTCCGGAGCCCTGAAAACCAGGGGCGGCTGCAGCTAAGGCCAAGGGTGTTAGAGCCTCGTGTGCCCGCAAGTCCCAGCGAGCCCGACACAGGCCAGACCGCGCTGCAGGGCGCCCAGCCCAACCGGCACCTCCACAGAGAAACCGTCCTGTGGGCAGCCTGCGGGGTGCTACGTACGTCTGCCCGCCCGCCTGCTGCCAGGGCCCCCCACCGCCATGTGGCCGAGTCCGGCTGGGAGGGACTCGCACGCCTTCCCCAGGCAGCTCAGCCCCGCCGGTGGAGCCCGGGGGCAGGCGCCCTAGCTGGGGACGCGGTGGGGGCGGGTGGCCCCTAGCTGGGGACGCGGTGGGGGCCGGGTGGCCCCTAGCTGGGGACGCGGTGGGGGCGGGTGGCTCCTAGCTGGGGACGCGGTGGGGGCGGGTGGCTCCTACCTGTGTACAGTGCCTCCCCGGTGTCCTTGGCAGAGCGGCTCGCTTCAGCCTGGCGTTTCCTGGGGACAGCGAGAGGGACGTCCTGAGGGATGGGACAGGGCCAGCCGCCCCCCCCCACGCACCCGGCTGAAAAGGAGCATTGGGGGAGCCTCTGGGCTGCACCCCCGGAGCTCAGCAAAGGGCCCGGCTGGCGTCATACCACTTTGTGACAGCTCCATGCTGGGGCGTTGGGGTCCCTGCACTGGGCCGGGCGGCCGGCGGCTCCGGGGGCTGTGGTGGGGGACAGGGACGGACCCAGCCTTGCCCCTTGCTCATAAAATGCCCTCGCTGAAGTAGGGCCCCCTGTGCACAGAGCTAGAGGCATCAGAGCTCGAAATCCCAACACCCGCCTACACCAGGGCTGGCTCCGGCCCGTCTGGGGGGGCGCTGAGCCGCTAGCCACGCCTGCCGGGATTCCTTGCCGAGCTGCTCGCATGGGCACAGCCTGCAAGAGACGCGGCCGGCCCCAGAGAGCTCCCAGCCCCTACGAAGACCAGAGGGGCCAGGGGGTATAACAATGCCCGGGGCAGGTGAGGGGCAGGGGGCAGGCTAGGTCAGGTGGGGACAGGGTAGGCCAGGCGGGGACAGGTTAGGTCAGGTAGGGATGGGGTGGGTGGGGGGCAGGCTAGGACAGGAGGGGTCAAGGTGGGCCAGGCAGGGGTGGGTGGGCAGGGGGCAGGCTAGGCCAGGCGTGGGGCGGGCAGGGGAGGGGAGGGCTACACAGATTAGCTGTGGGCACAATGAGCAGTTGGGAAAGCCCCTCCCAGGTAGGAAGAAACCCCCAGCCGAGAGCGCTGGGGCGGAGCCGGAGGCCAGCCAGGCTGGGCCCCACCGAACACACTGACCTGGCGAGCACGAACCACCGCAGCAGGGCCCCTGCGCCCAGCAGCACCAACACCACCGGCACTGCCACGGCTACCGCCAGGCCCCCGGGCTGGGGTGTCTGGGCCTCTCCTGCAAGCAACAGAACCAGAACCAGCAGGGTCAGAAAGAAGATAGGATCTGGTCCCTGCACCCAGCCACAGCCCCTGTGCCCCGAGCAGTGCTGGCAGAGTGGGTCTGTCTGGGGGGGCAGAGGGGAGGTGTCCCCCCGCCCGGAGGAGTGGGGATCTGTCTGCGTCCCTGGGGTGCAGCAGAGAGCTCCCCGCCTGCGCTGAGGCAGAGCTGGGTCTGTCGTGGCTTGGGACCCAGCCCCATCCCCCGCGGCCACGCTAGCTTGGGCAGGGCAGCCACGCTAGCTCAGGCAGGGCAGCCCAGCTGGCCCGTGGGCTCGCAGACACCTCGGCTTCAGGCTGCAGTCGGAGCCAGGTCCCAGCACCCACTGGCCGCTTTCCCCGGGGCCAGACTGCTGTGCACGCTGGGGCAGGCCCACCCCCAGGGCCTCGGGCTGCCGCGGTGGCTGTGGGGTCACAGCACCTACGGCAGGAGTTAGAGCCGGTGCCAGCGGCTGGGAAGCTGAGCGGGACAGATTGTAGCTAGGCTGGTCAGCCTGGCATCACTGACACCCAGGGCCCCGCAGCGGAGAGCAGCAGCACGTCCCCCCAGACGCAGCCTGCCCTGCGGGGCCAGCCGGGGAGAGCAGCAGAAGGGCACACGGCCACCCCAGGCTCTTGGGGTGGACTGGTGGGCACTTTGCGTGGCTGTAGGCCTCTGCGCACCACCAGGGCGCTCTCTGAGCCTGGCTGCAAGGCAACGAGGGGCTCAGAGACCCCTGGCCGTGGCTCGTGCTCTGCTGGGTACAGTTGGTCAGGTGTTCTCTCTGCCGAGTGCTCACTGGAACACACTTGGAGGCATGGGATGGGTGGACCCTGCAGAGCTGGGGGGGCAGGTAGCTCCCAAAGGGTGTGGGTCGAGTGGGTCTTGGGGGGCGTGGGCCAGATGGCTCCTGAGCCCCTCTCCTGCAGCTTGAAAATACTCCCACAACCCCTCCAGATCCTTGGGCCCCATGTGCTCAGGTATATTTACTCCATTCACATGCTCAGGACCGCCGTGGGGAGGGTGACTGCGGACCAGTCAGCCCCACTGGGCCATGGGGAGAAT